ATCAGCTGAGCCCAGTAACATGTCACTGCACTCCAGCTTGGGCGACAGTAAGACTCCGACTCAAAAAAATAATTAAACTCATAAATTAAAATAAAAAACATCCCCCAGAGGCCCAGGCAAGAAAGTTGAACATGGAGGCGCACGTGCTACCTGCCTGTCCGCCACCCATCTTCCAGGTAGGACACTCCTCCGTTTTGTGACAGCAACCCCAGGCTTTGCCCCACCCGAACCTGGCACTAGGGTCCGTTGTGAAGAGGGATACATGGCTGCAGAGGCATTGAGTCATGCTGAGGAATCTGAGGGCTGGAAAGTACATGACCCTCAGCTCTGGGGGTGATGCCTGCTGGGCTCACCACACCAAAGCCTCTGTCACTGTCATCTCCTCACCTCTGCAGACAGGCCTCATCGAGCATTTGGTCATCAAGACCAAAGTGCTAAAAGTGAGTTTCATCTGGTGAGACTGCTCTGAAGTCTGTCCTCCAGGGCAGGCACCATCTCCACCTCGACATGAATCACCGCCTGCTGTTCTGACTTGTTCTTGGCTTGTTCTAGACCTGTTCTGGCTTGGCCTGACGCCTTAGTGCAAAGTCCTGCTGTGCGTACTGCATCTTCACCAGGCCAGGTCACCGTGAACTTCACATCATGTCACAGCCAAGTGCCAGGCTTTACTCCGGCAACCCCTTGCTGTCGGAGCCCTCTCTGCAGTGCTCCCTCGGGGCACAGGCACATTGTACCAGCTGCTCTGCCCTTTGGGGAGGGTCCACCAGCCACAGGAAGGGCGGCAGAGGTGCATAAGGCAGAGGGAGAACGAGAGTCAGATGAGAAGTCAGGAGGGCCTTGGTCATGCGGTCTGACCCCCTGGGGTGGGCGCCCTGGGCCTCTTGGGCCCCAAGATTTGCACATGAGCGGGTTTGAGGCGTGTTTCTGACATGCACAAGCAGAAGTCTGGAATCGGGAAGAGAGGTGTTTCGAGTGACATGAGCCATGAAGGGCCGAGAGGTGGGCAGTGAGGGCCCCACCCAGGGCAGCCAGGGGACTTGGGCCATTTGCCACCGAGGCTAAAGTTGAAGGGATTTGGCGCAATAATGTCTGATGCCCAACATGCTGGCCGCTCCCACAGGCTCCCTGGTGAGGCATGCAGGGGTCAGCCTCTGCCCGGCCATCTGCCTGAGCAGCAGAGATTGGTTCCCTATGTGGAGGCATGTTACACACTCACCTGGTATCCCCAGCCAGATGTGCACCTGGGGGAAAGCGTGTGATCTTGTCTTCACTTCCTGCAGTGCCTGGCAAAGGGGCATGGTATGACAGAGGTTGTACCAAGAGCTGGCCAAGGACTCTCATCTTTTTGAAGGCAAGGGCACCCCACTGACCCTGGTTACACACAGGTAGTGCATGCATAAACCCTGGGCCCTTGAACAGAGAGGTGAAGGGGGCTAGCAGGAAGGGTTCCAGCCCCAGCACAGGAGACGCTGTGTCTGTCCACATGTGTGAAAATGTCCGAGGAAAACACCACGTGGCCAGAAGGAAGGCCTTGGGAGAAATGCTGAGACGGGACAGCTCCGCCTCATGGATGCTTACAAAGAAGGATCAAAATGCTTCCCTTATGTGCATGGCTTCATTTGGTCTGATGACTCCATGGAGTGAGGACTGTCCTCACATTTGTTCCCCAGAAGAAGACTCAGAGCTTAGGTCCTCGAGATGCACTGAGTCCTAGACAGGATACAGCTGCTCTCGCCTTGGACAAAATGAAGATGCCCTGGGCTCAGGAACTAGAAGGGTCCACGCAGAGAGATGCCACCCCATGAAGGCCATCTATGCTCTGCCCACTCCTGGCCACACCCCTTCTGGCACAGGAACAGCAAATCCTGGAGAGGTCCGTGGGGCCCAGGAGCAGTGTGTGCCCCAGCCTAGGGCATGGGTGAGTGAGGTAGGGCGGCCATAGCCCCTCCCCAAGGACGCAGTTCATGGAACTGATGGACCTGGGGATGCCCCATACAGACTGGGACAAAGGGCCAGGTGGGGGCTGGGATGTCTTATTGACACAACATGGGAAGATGAGGACCTGCTGTCAGAGGCCCCACTGCTAAAAGGGCTGGCAGGGGAGTCAGACTAGGAGATATCCCCACCCTCTGGCAGTACCGAAGAACAGAGGCACGTTTCTTGCACACTTGAGCATGTGGCCCAGATTCCTACCTGTCCATACAGAGGCTTTTCCAGCACCTCTCTGCAGGGGTAATGTCACTCCCTCCAGGACTCTGGTCTTAGAGCCTCTGAACATTTTCCATATTTTTAGAGGGATACATCATGACTTCTGCCAAGAGTCAAGCCATCGAGAGGACAGCCAGGCAGTCAAGGTGAGGGACCGAGTCGACCTACTGCCCACCTCGGCAGTACCGAGCTTGCTGTCCTCTCAGGAGGAAAATTTCCTTTTCTAGGCTTCATGAACTGGTTCTAAAACAAAACGCATGCATGCCCTGCTTTGAAAAAAGTGCCCGTTATTTCAGTCAGGGGAATTGGATAAGATCACGAGGCTTGGGGTCCTGGCCTAGGTCATCGGCTGTCATGGGTGCCCTGCCCTTCCCAGTGCAATGGGGGCAACAGTGGCAGCCACAGGGAGTATTCTAGAGCAGACAGTGCCCACTCACCACTGCTGTGGCCCTCAGAGACTGCAGGCTCTGGCCAGTCTGGCCTCCACCCTTCTGTCTCCACTGCGGCTCCAGTCCTGCCACCTGCTTCCCATTCCACTTCAGTGAGCTCCCTCCTGCCCCAGGACCTCCGCACGGCGCCCAGTCAGGGGCTCACCCCTCTCTTCCATGTGGAGTGGCCATCCCTGGACCTAGGGCCTCCTTCATCTGCCCCGCAGTTCCCCAACCTCTCCTCACAGCACTTGTCAATGTCACAGCAAGTCGCTTTGAGACCACCTTGTCAGGCAGGGCCACATGCTGAAGCGCTGACCAACACATCTTTGCCCCTGCAACGATTTTTTTTCTCCTTTTAACTAATGCAGCTGACGTGGCTGTCCACCTTGGGGTGAGTGATTATAGCTGAGCAGAGAACAAATGCAGCAATTCAGAGCGTTAAGAGCTTCTAAGCTGGCCTTTAAAGCTCAAGGCAGTCATCAGTTTTAGAGGTTTCAGAGGCAGCGTGTCCTGAAGGATTGAGCGCAACATTCTTACAGCAGCTTTGTGGGGCACTGAGGGAAGAACCAGACTGCCCCAGCACAGCCTGACCGCACAGAGGTCTTGAGGTCTGGGACAGCACGGCCAAAGTCAGAGACGAGGAAGGATTGTCCCTGAGTGGGGCCCAGCCCCACCCACCCCATCCCAGGTGGTGGACAGCCACTGCCCCTCCCCAGCTTGCCTCAGCGGGGAATGAACACTGCTCTGGGTGATGCCAGCACCCCCTCATGAATCTCCCCGGGCCTAGAAAACCCCAGCAGGATTAGGTTCCTGTCATCAGCAGAGCAGGCCCCAAGAGAGAAACGAGCCAAGTTGCTGTTTGCTCCCCTAGTTAAAGACCCCAGGTTTTCAGAGCCACGCTGGGTGAGTCTTGTTCACGGCTGTCTCCTAGGTCTAGCACAAACCCTGGCTGCAGTGCCAGGAGAGTCCCCACAAACCGAGACTCGATGGTCTAAGCGGGGCAGGGCCCCTCTCTGGAAAGGGCAAGGTGCAGATGAACAGGTGAACATGCCCTGCTGCTGACCGGAAGGAGGAGCGGAGGCCATCACAGGAGTCAGGAGGAGGCCGTCCATCTGGCAGGTCACATGTTCTCCGGGCCTTGCTGGGAGGGACTTTTGGGGCCTCACACGTGAGACCCTGGACAGCAGCTGCCTCCTGTCAGGAACAAGGGAGGATCCAGCACTCCAGGGTCTGGCCTCCTTCCAGGGCTACATACCAAGGTGGCCAGAATGCCTCTGGACACTGCTCTGCCTGGCCAGAAGATTTCTGGATCGTGTGACACAACCTAAAATACGTTTCTGATCGAAAGGGCCCTGCAGAGCCCCTCTGTCCTCACCCCAGGAACCAAGTCAGGGCAGAGAAATGAAGGTGGTGGGAGTGCCAGGGGGATCTGTGTCTGGCCAAGTCTAGAGAGTCCTTCGTTCCTTCAGTTGGCGTGTCAGGGCCAGGAAGAGTCCTTCTCTCTTAAGCTGGGGTGTTGGGACTCAGAGGAGTCCTTCCCTCCTAAGCTGGGGTGTCAGGGTCTAGAGGCGTCCTTCCCTCCTAAGCTGGGGTGTCGGAGCCCGGAAGAGTCCTTCCTCCTAAGCTGAGGTGATGAAGCCCAAGCTTGTGAGACCCTAAGGGTTGGAAAGACTAGCAGCCCACTTGGGTCCCCTTCCACTGTGGGAGCTTTTCTATCCTCTCAATAAATCTTGTTTTCTCCAAAAAAAAAAAAAGATGGAAAGCCACAAGTCATAGAGTACCTTTCCCTTGTCTTTTCTCCTACCTGACTCTACCACCTGTCACAATAAGCAGAAAGTCATGCCAGGAGGGTCTTAGAGCTGGGACAGATTAGAGGAACCCATGATCCCTTCAAGGGGAGCAATGGGGAGGGTGCCAGGATAGAAAGAGGAAGGACGTAAGGACAAGAAAGTGGTCTGCGCCCCCAAAATCTCTCTAGAGGGCAGCAGGGAGGTGGTTGGTTGAAGGTCCCAGTGGATCAAAAGGAACAAAAGCTGAGGGTCTCCAGGGCTCTTCCATGAACTTGACCTGAGGAGCAGAGCAGAGAATGGAGGCCTGCCCCAGAGCACTGGGCAGGCATAGGAAGGAGGCACTTGGGAAGGCAGCTGAGGGCCTGGGGCCGGGCTGCTAAGCTCTGCCGTCAGTGCGGACTGGAGCAGACCAAGGAGACCACTGACAGGGCCCCATCCGGCAAGGCACCGGGCAAAGCCATGCCCCTTGCCAGCCCCTATCATCAGTGCAGTGGGGCCACTCTGACAGGAGATATGCATAGGGATCCCTGGCGGTAGAAGCCAGCAGATCTGGGCAGGCCCAGCCTCGAGCTACACGTGAACAGCTTTTATTTTTCATGCACTCAACAAACATTCGGCCTGCTGACTCTGCTGGGCCCTGAGCGGGCCCTGGGGACAGAAGTGCAAGAATCCCCTGAGCTGGCTGAGGGCAGGGCCAGTGTGGTCCCCGGCACAGTCTGGCAGCCACTGGCACCTAATGAGTGTTTGCTGAACGCATGGCAGGTCATCTGGGGAGGCAGGCTGGGTGGGCACGTGGAGGAAGGGGTGCGTGGTGGGGACAGTGAGGGGCTCAGCCCCACTGGAAGCACTTCAGTCACCAGGCTCCTGGCCCTCCCTGCTGTCGCACTGCAGCCCCCGGAGCTTGCCCGGGGAGTGGAGAGGGCTGCCGACCTCCCCTGCGGTGGCCTGACTCCTCCCCATCCTGGGCCCCTGGGCCCCTGGCAGCTTGAGGCCTGCTGCCTGAGGTCAGCCCGAACTGCCTGGGAGCACGTGTCCGTGTCCAAGGGCCCACGGGGCCCAGCCCTGTCCTGAGATCGGGTTAAGGCCTGGCAGGGCTGGGAAAGGGAGGCATGCAGCAGGAGGCCATCTGGGCCTGGGTGTCCAGGGGGGATCCCACAGGTCCTGAGCTGGGAACCTGAGGTCAGGACTCTGTGGAGGAGCCCGAAGCACAGTCCAGCTCAGCCAGGCCGCTTGCTGTCCAGGATGGCCTTCCAGTCGTCGGCCCAGGAGTGCAGCCTGCGGCGGGGGGGCTGCAACTTCAGGTGCTGGTTGTGGCAGGCGGTGAAGAGGACGTGCTCCCAGCTGGGGTTTGGCTCAGCCCCTGAGGGGGAGAAGTGGCACTTAGGCCAGTGGTTGGGGCCCTGGAGCGCGGCCACTCAGACTGAAGCCTGGGTGTCCTGGCAGGTACTGGGCCTCACCAAGACTCCTTCCTAACCCGTGAGGTGAAACCAGTGTTCGCAGCCCTCACAGGGCAGAAGGGGCCGACCCAGATGCTGACAGAAGAATGCAGCTTGGCAGCTGGTGCAGGAGGCGGGGGCTACACAGCCTCCTCCCCACCAGCATTGCGGGCGTGTGCTGGGCCAGCCACAGGGGCGCCCACACTCCGCTCCATGCCCCCCTCTCCACCCTCGCCTCCCCATGCCCCGTCACTGGCTGGGGGAAGGCCAGGTAGCACCCACTCTGCAGCCCACCAGTGGTGACCACAGACCTTGGAGCCACCCTGGGCTTCCATTCTTGTGTCCACATGAGGTGCTGCTGGTGGAACACCACCCCTTTGGGGTACATCCCTACTCCCTGTGGCTGGAAATGGGGCCGAGTAGGCCTCTGGGCCCTCAAGGTCCCAGCCCTCCTATTGGCAACTGTGGCCCAGACTCCCTAGGAGACCACGTGGTTTGGGAGAGAACAAGGTGGGTGCACTGTGGATTCTACCGTGTAGACAGTGACTGGCATAAAGATGGGCATATTTCTTTCTTTTTTTTTTTTTTATTTTTTTTTGAGTTGGAGTCTCACTATGTCGCCCAGGCTGGGCTTACGCAATCCTTCTGCCTCAGTCTTCCAAGTAGCTAGAAGTATAGGTGCGCGCTGTCACACCCGGCTATTTTTTTTTTTTAATTGTAGAGATGAGATCTTACCAAGTTGCTAGGGCTAGTCTTGAACCCACAGGCTCAGGCAATCCACTTGCCTCAGCCTCCCAAAGTGCTGAGATTACAGGAACCACCCAGCCTGACCAAGATGGGCATATTTCCCAAGCCAGTTCCCCAATCATCAGGGAAGAAATATTCTGTATTTTCCCAATAGCATGTCCTGAAGAATAGGCTGTAACTTTGAAACTGCTGATGGTTACCAGGAGGAGAAGCCTGCCTGAGGATGCTGGCAAACCAGGATAAAATAGGGCAAGGAGACAAAGAAACTGAATGTTAGCCAGGCTTGGTGGTTCAGCCTGTAATCCCGCATCTTGGGAGGCTGAGGTGAGTGGATTGCCTGAGCCCACGGATTCGAAACCTGCCTGGCCAACTTGGTGAGACCTCATCTCTACAATAAATAAAAAAAACTAGCCGGGCGTGGTATCGCGCGCCTATAGTTCCAGCTCCTTGGAAGGCTGAGGCAGAAGGATCGCCGGAGCCCAGCAGGTCAAGGCTGTGGTGGCCGGGAGCAGCCACTGCACTCCAGTCTGGGTGACAGAATGAGATTCCAACTCAAAAAAACAACAACAAAAAAAGAAACTGAATGTTGACTACTCCTGTTTGAATGCCTAGATTCAGCCATGCCTGAAGCCCTCCTACCCCACCTTTTCAGTCAAGTGCACCAATAAATTTCCCTCTCTTTTTTAAGTCAGCTTAAGGTTGGCTGGTTTGTTTTTCAGGAGAGGGTCATCTATAAGCAAAAGGGACAAATCCATTTCCCAAGCCACCTCAACAACAGAATTTATGCTCTGCTTTCCTGGCATTTATTAGGTCAATCCAAACTGCTTTTAGGGAAGAAAAAAAAAAAAAGTTTTGCTGCTAAAAACAATTGTTTGGGAACAAGAGTTGGGTCCTCATGTTACATAAGGAAGTCAAGGGACTTACCCAAGGCTACCTATCCAACTAACCCCGGAGCTAGGCACCCACTCTCTCAACTCCCAGGAGCACCCAACCCAGGCTTACGTCAATGGAGCTTTGTCTTCCTGACAGGGAAAAGGCTCAGTGCCTGGCACACCTCTGGTGACTAAGAAGGATGGGCAGGGGCAGGAAGCGGCTGAGTGGTGACCACTTGGGAGAAAGTGAGTGCAAGGCTCGCTGCCCACCCCACACGCTGCTCACCTGTCGCAGGCCACTTGCCTGTGATGTCTGGCCGGTCATCTATGAGAAGGTCAGCGGAGACCACAGTCTTGTCTCTGGTCAGCACAATCTGCTCCAGAAAGTCAGGGCCAAAGTGCTTCTCCACCCAGGCGTACTGGATGTGAACCGGCGAGAGTGGAGTGAGAAAAAAGTGGCATCAGACCTGGGGCAGACAGCACGTTGGGGGATTGCCAGACTTTCCCCAGGAAGGGTCAGCCTAGACCTCAGCTAACGGCCGGGGGAAGGCCCGTCCTGAGGGAGAGTCAGGGCAGGTCCCTGCCCCCTCAGGGATTCTGCTATCCTCTGTGTAAGACAAGGGGACGGGCGCTTTGGGCATGGTCAGAGGGTGCTTCAGGAACTTTACCTCACAGAGGCGGATGCTGTGCATGACCCTCCAGGAGCCAACAGTGCAGGCATGCTCAGAGCACAGAGCTGGATCCGCAGAGTGGGGCTGGCTCTGGCCCTGCCTGGGTCCCAGCTTCGCCTTTCTCTGCAGGCCACCCCCCTCGCCAGGCCCCCTACAGCGGCCTTCTCTCCATGCTTGACTGTGTACACTGTGTCCTGCTCAGTGCCTGGAGCACTCCTTCACGTGCACATACGTGCGTGCACATACGTGCGTGCACATACGCACTCCTTCACGGCCATGTGCGTGCACATACATGTGTGCACATACGTGCGTGCACATGCGTGCATACACATGCGTGCATACACATGTGCACACATGAGAGAAAGTGTATACACAGACACACATGTGTGCACATGCCTCCTTTCTCCTAGCCCAGCGAGCTCCTAAAGCTCCTGTCTTTCTAAAGCCATCACCTCCTCAGCCTTCCTTGACCTTCACACGCTGTCCTTCCTAGCAATGATCACAATTGTAACTATATGTATTTATTTGTACGAGGGGGATCCCTCCCCCCAAAAAACCAGAATTATCTTTTGAAGGGCAGGTCCTTTGTAGTACAGGCTTCCCTAGCTAGGTAAGTGTTCTAGGAACCCATCAGTTTTTATCCAGAAGTTTTGAGAAGGTTGCATCACAATTTGCAGAAGAAATGTCCCGAATTATGGCAAACAGGTGACTGGTTCTTCCACCATGACAATACACCTGCCCAGACAACTGAGTGTTCAGCAGTTTTTGACCAAAAACAGCATAACCCTCATGCCCCATTCCATTCACCTGATCTCATCCCAAGCAACTGTTTTTGTTTCCCTAGATGAAAAAAGACCTCAAATGGAAATGTTTGGCCAGTGTGAACGAGGTGAAACAAAAAACTGCAGAAGCACTAAAAGTATCAAAATTGACAAGTTCAAAAACAGTTTGGGGCAGTGGAAAAAGCATCTCGATAGGTATATCACATCAAATGGAGAGAACTTTGAAGGTGACTGAGGTTTAAAGGCGTAAGAATAAATACACAATTTTTTATAAATAAACTCTGGGGTTATTTGGTTCCCCCCTCATATAAATATTTGTTTCGCATCTACCCCACTGTAAAGTCCTTGGGGACAGAGACCATGTCTCACTGAAATGACCAAGCAAGCAAATTAACAAATATATAGAGAGAAGGAACGGACATCCCTGCCCAAGAGAGAGAGTGCTCTCATCTTAAGGTCTTATGGCCAAGACTGCAGGGTAGCCCTACAATGACTTTCTGGACATCTTCTCAGGAAGATGCCCATTATCAAACAACAGGGTGCCCCCAGGTCCACAAAATGGATCAGTGAGAGCCAAGCCACCATGCCACAGCAGGCTGACTGCGGATGGGCCAACCACCTGGACTGTCCACCTGGCAAGGCTGAGGACCTCTAAGCTCCATGCCAGAGAGGAGGCCCAAGATGAGGGCAGACCCATCACAGGTGTTCATGGAGGTGTGGAGGTCGGAACTGAGGGGCAGGACCCCAGGCTAACGTCTGCACCATCCTGACTCCATAGGCACATAGTGCCCATCAGCTTACTAAGCCTCACGTCAGCCTACAAAGCAGGAGGGTTTCCCTTATTCATGCAGCTCTTCAACCAGTATTTTGTGACGCTGAGAGATTCGGGTGTCCACATTCTAATAGGAAGAGGATACAGGCAACAACAGCACCAGCAGCTCTGGGGGAGCCACGCCTGGCAGTAAGCATAGAGCTCCAGCTCCGGCAGAGGGTAGGGAGAAGGCAGCCTCTGTGACCAGCCCAGAACAAGCGAGCCTGCTCTCCACAGATTGGCAAGAAGAGGGTTCCTGGTAGAGAGAACAACAAACACGGATGTCCTAAGGCAGCACACACTCAGGTGGTGAGGAACAGGGAAAACTTCAGAGTGTGTCTGTCTGGAACACAGAGAACCAGGGGCATGGGCTAGGGCAATGCACAAGGGCCAGAAGCAGACCTGGGGAAGGAAACAGTTTAATGCTAAATACAAGGGGATTCCCTCAGAGCTGCGTCACACAAACCATCTATGGAGGACTAGTTTTGTTTTTGTTTTGTTTTTTAATTTCCAGGCCAGGCGCAGTGGCTCACGCCTATAATCTCAGCACTTTGGGAGGCCAAGGTGAGAGGACTGCCTGAGCCTATGGGTTCAAGACCAGCCCTGGCAACTTGGTGAGACCTCATCTCTACAATAAATTAAAAAATTAGCCAGGCATGGCAGTGTGTGCCTGTAGTTCCAGCTACTTGGAAGGCTGAGGCGGAAGGATCACCTGAGCCCAGCAGGTCGAGGTTGCGATAGCCAGGAGCATGCCACTGCCCTCCCGCCTGGGTGACAGAGTGAGACTCCAATGCAAAAAAAAAAAAATTTTTTTTCAATGCATTGTAACCAATACTTTTCTAAGATATGAAATCAAACCATGTGCTGGGACACTATATCCATGTCAAATTGCCATGAAAGTTTCCAGTCACATACACCGAATTTCTGTGTTTCATCTTGGGCCAGTGCCGGTCTGCAGGCCACAAACTGAGTCACTCTGCAGAAAGGATTTATCTAAGAAAATGACACCCTGCAACAGCAGTGAACAGGTTCGGTACAGATAAAGAAACTGAGGCTGCGAGTAGCAGAGCCCTCCCCAGTGGTACCCTCCCACCTGGATACCCAAAGAGAGCTCAGGGTTGGTCCCAGGCCTCATGGCATGCGGCGGTAAGCTTCTACAGACACGCTGCCATCCCATCAGACATCTCTTCTGCAGCAGGCTGCCTCATCCACGTGTGGCAAAGCAGGGATAACAATAGTTATCACTTCATAGTGCCTTTGGGAATTGGACGGAAAAATGTGCATCGAAGTCTTAGCACTGCACCTGGCACATAGGAAGGACTCCGAGAAAAATATTTCAGTTTACCCCCAAAACTGGGCTCTAAGTCCCTCCCCACCTCTCATGGTTCTGATACATATGAGCTATGGGACACCGGGTAAGCCATGAAACCTCCTGAGGCTCAGTTGCCTCAGAGTGTTGTTAGTATGTTTGAATGAAATAAAATCTGGCTGGAAGGCATGGTGTGAGGCTAAGGAGAGAAGGCTGAGTCCAGGAGTTCAAGGCTGCAGTGAGCCATGATTGCACCATGGCACTCCAGCCTGGGCGACAGAGCAAGACCCTGTCTCTAAACATAAATAAATGAAATAAAATCTGTGTAGGACTGATTGCCTGGTACACAGCAAACACTAAATAAGTGCAGTTATTATAACTAAGCTGTAATAGCCCCAAATAATCTACAAAAAAGCAACCAGAACTAGTATTTTGGCAAAGTAGCCAGGATACAAGGTTAACATACAAAATTCACTTGTATCTCTATAAGTTGGGAAATTGCAATTAAATAAAAAATATCACTTAACATAGCATTAAAAATGAAATACGCTGAACTGAACACTTAAAAATGGCTAAGATGGTATATTTTATATTATGTATATTTACCACTAAAAAAATTTAATTGAAAAATAAAGATAGGCTGTATGCCAAAGAAAAATCCATGAACTATATAAAAAAATGTGTGTAAGACAAGCACACTGAAAGCTATAAAACATTGCTAAAAGAAATTAAAGAAGATCTAAATAAATGAAGATGTATGTGTGTTCGTGGATCAGAAGATTCAATGCTGTTAAGCTCTGTAGCAATGACACAATTGCAATCACATTCTCACCAGGTTTTTTGTAAAAACTGGCAGCTGGTTCTAAAATTTCCATAGAAATACAAAGGACCAAGAATAGACAAAACAATTTTTTAAATGAAGAGTAATGTTGGAAAACTCACATTGTTTTCAAGAGTTACTATAAAACTATAGTAGTTGAGGCAGCATAGTATTGACATTAGGTCAGACATTAAGATCAAGGGAACAGGACATATTTCAGAAATGTACCCTAGTGTACCAAGACATTTCAGTCAGAAAGGACAGTTTTTCCAACAAAACCAAATCCATATGCCAAACAAAAAAACCCCCAAAAAACCTCTATTTTTATCCCCTACCATATATAAAACTTAACTCAAAATGGATCATAATCTAAATATAAAATCTAAATGTATAAAATTTCTGCTCTTCCAAAGACACTGTAAGACAATGAAAAGGTATATCACAGACTGGGAGAAAATACTTATAAAACACATTATCTGAGAAAGGATTTGTTTTTAGACTACATAAAGAGCCAGGCTCGGTGGCTCAGCCTGTAATCCCAGCACTTTGGGAGGCTGAGGTGAGTGGATTGCTTGAACCCGCGGGTTCGAGACCCGCCTGGGCAACTTGGTGAGACCTCATCTCTACAATAAAATCAAAAATTAGCTGGGCGTGGTAGCGTGCACCTGTAGTTACAGCTACTTGGAAGGCTGAGGCAGAAGGATCGCTGGAGTCCAGCAGGTTGAGGCTGCAGTGGCCGGGAGCGCCCACTGCACTCCAGTCTGGGTGACAGAGTGAGACTCCAACTCAAAAAAAAAAAAGAAAAAAAAAAAGAATATATAAAGAACTCTTACAACTCAATACAAACAACCCAATAAAAAACTAGGCAAAAGGTTTGAACACCACCACAGAAGATATACAGAAGGCTATATTCTTTAAAAGATGTTCAATAGCCGGGCTCGGTGGCTCAGCCTGTAATCCCGCGCCTTTGGGAGGCTGAGGTGAGTGGATCGCCTGAGCCTGCGGGTTCGAGACCCGTCTGGGCAG